CCCGTAGTTCCAACAAGAACTTTGAAAGAAAACGACTATCCCATTCAATCTTGACTAGCTGTGGGCTTTCTATTTATACGCTGCTTAGTTCGTTCTAATATGTATAACCAAACTGCAGGTTGACTAGCGGTGGAGGAAAAATTGCAATGAAGCGGTCGTATTGACGTTTCTGTATTCAGTCATGATTTCACCTTCACAAGACGCCCTAGCTGCTTCTCCACAGGTGTGCTAAGGTCGTCCTCGTCGCCCATTTCAACACCGTCTTCTCGCAACATCTTCACTGCCTCCGGATATCTGAAAAACGCAATTTGGTTGTCTTGGATCAGTAAAAGTAAATAAAATAGCAAACCACTTCAGAATGAGTGCTGGCTCGCAAAACTCGAAAGGTTCAGCAGGATACTGTCGTCCAACCGCTTCGATTTCAGCAGCATAGTCTCTTTTAAGGCCTTTGAATATGCTGATAAGAACAGCTCCGATCGTTTCCAACACCTGAAAGAAAAGACGTATATTACCTTATTAAGAAGATGAAGAAATATCGTGATGGGTGATGAAAAATTTATAATCTACAGGATGAACAAGCAGGCAAAGAATCAAAACAGAAAAAATAGAAGATAAAACGCGAAGGAAAGAAAAATAAGCCAAAATCAAGAAGCGTACAACAAGTGACCTCGTGATAATGGAAGTTGAAGGCCATTTCCAAATCGAGCCCTACAAATTCCGTCATATGTCGGTGGGTGTTTGAATCCTCAGCTCGGAAGACACCACCGATGGTAAACACCTGAAAAAGGTACGCACCTACTAATACAATGAAAAAGAAAGTGGGCACAGAATTTCACCTTTCCAAAATCGCCAGCAATAGCCATCTGCTTGTACAGCTGTGGAGACTGCGCCAAGTATGCAGAACCTTTGAAGTAAGACACCTGGAAAAGTCCAAATAGAACACAGAGTATTACAATTACCTACGTTCTTAGGTGAGGTAGGTAAGAGCTGAGCAGATGTTAAGCTCTCACCGTGAAAACGTTGGCACCTCCTTCACTCGCAGCGGAGATGATCTTTGGGGTATGAATCTCAACAAATCCACGCTCAGTTAAAGTATCACGGAACAGTTTGCAGACACCAGCCTGCAGTGAGAAAATGCCTTGAGTCGTTGTCGTACGCAAATCGAGTACACTGTAAAGTATCTTGAAATAAATGTAAAGTGCGAAAAGAGTATCCTGAATAATGGTGAATTTTAGCAAGAAATAGAAAGAAAAAAAAACTACCAAAAAAAGCGACCAAACCAAAATGAGGGTGTACATGACTCTACAAAAAATTATGAAAGAGACAGATTACTTAAGCAAGTTCTTCTGAACAAGAAATATCATAATATAAAGACAACATAACGAACCGGTTATCTAGCCTTGTGTCAAGATTTACTGCTGCCAGACCGTCAGCGCTGTCTGCCCGCCGGCTGGCATCTTCAATTTGAAGAGGAAGTCGTGGCTCCGCTGCTGATACAACGAACACCTTCAACAAATTACTGCACCACTTATGGTCGAAACGTTTATGAAATTCATTCTAAGATGAACCTCCTCCGGGTTATATCGTAACGTAACTGTTTGAAGCTCATTTGAAGGTTCGAAACTATCGCTCAGCAAATGTATTAAAGTACCTGGATTGCGTGAAGTTCGGCATTTTTCTGTGTGCATGATTCAATTTGTGCATCAACCTTTTCTACTTGACCTTGAATGTCAACAATAGATTCCTGCAAAATGGAATTGATAAGGATAAAATATAAATATACAGAAATGATCATTTATAATCAAATCAAAATCAATACAATTCAAACGTGAACAAGATGCATACCGCCAACAGAACAAACAGCATGAACAATACTTGAAACTCCCCCAAACATAAGAGCAGATATCTTCAAAGTTGGATACGCTTTCCAAACAAATCACTACAAAAATGCCGTATCGGTAAATAGTATGTCTAAGAATAATCGACTATACAATGTGGTGAGCACACTCAGCATTTAGCCATGTCAAGTTACGGAGGCCCTACACCCCCCCCCCCCAAACCCCTAATTGCTACACTCCTCGCCCTGCTCCACGAAATCTCCCCAATCTCTGACGTAATGTAGCGACCAGCAGGTCGGCCCCACTGACCATACATTTTTCCTTGTCCCACCACAAATGACGCGTGCCCCCCTACTGTACATAGCCACCTTAGCCAGCTTTCAGAACCCAACTAATCCTGAGAGTAACACAAATAATAACAACCCCAAGAAAAGTGAATCTCTTTTCCCCCAACAGCCAAAAATTCAGCTACTCCCTGACGCATTTTAATTGTTCTGTCCTCTTATGCATTATTTTACCAATTCTTTCTTCCTTTACACCACACACGCCTTAATGACATTACCTTATTACTCTTCAAAAATACAACCAAGCACTAACAACTCTAACCTTCATAGCCAAATTATTGAATTTGTTTAGCCCTTTTGCACATTCCTCTTGAGTTAGAATTACTTGAATTTTCCCTTCTCTCAGATGGAGTTCCATCTGGTCCTCAATAAACCCGCCTGACACTCCCCTTCTCGGACAAACGGGATCACTCGATTCACTGCGTGAAACTTTCTGATGGCGTCGTAGGCAGAACCTCCGTCGACCCGCACACCTAGTCATGATACCAACGCTCGCTGCGATTCCGGCGTCCCATCACCGCCCCTTAGCCCTGTACCCGCTCAGCAAACTGATGGCCGATAACCGAGAACCTATAACGAAGAGTTCATCGATATAACTGAATCATATAACTCTTTGAAACAATCCAAGACTAACAGCAGAAATAATGGTGATATACCCAACTTGATCCTAAACAACTACCAATGACATATCTTGAGCACACAACGCTCAGCATCTGGCTTGCTTAACTTTTCCGCATCCACAAATGAGGGCACCCTTAAATAATAAAATCTTCAAGAAAGTAACTTCAGCCAAGTTCAACGAGTTTATCATGAAGAACCGCGAACCTGTGCATTTAGAACTGCTCGCCTTGAGACCAAGGAATCAATGTTTTCCTCTACTCGCGTAATGCATGAACGCGACCCTAGCCGGACCCACACTACAAAAAATATTCACTGACCAACGAATAAATAGACAGCTATCCACACCACAACTGAACAACACATGTGGCCCTAAAATAAAAATGCCATTACTTTCCCTATATTGGAATCGCATAACAGCCCTCCAACAAACAACCGACATCTATACGAAAGCATCAACAAAGAAAATGTGTAAGCTATCTTGGGTGTAGTTCGCTAAAATATTTAGAAAGCGGCTTTTTGGCTTTTCGCAGCGCGAAATCCAGTTCCACCACTGAAATGTCCGGCTCAATCGGTGATTTGTGAAGCGACGGGACACGCGATCCCGTGATCCCCATATAGAGAATAGCATTTGGGCCGTCTTTGAAACAGTCAAGGAGGTCGGACGAATGCGAGTAGAGAATACGAGTTGCGTCAGTGACTTTGGACGGCGGGGATGCTTGAGTGGGTTGCTTTCCGGCTATGCACCGAGCAGGCGACGAGAAGCTAGACTATGAAGAAGAGGTCCTGAGGCCGGCAAGTATCGTATGCGCGCGATAGAAATTCAGAGCGACCATACACATGTAACACTCGTGCCTTAGGCTAACGTTATTACCGAATAGGGATCAAGTTCTAAACTAGCCCGCATCCTTTACCGCAGACCTTCTGCACCTCCACATTACTACGAAAAACCCGAGGCTCATCACATGGCAACAAATATAATACTTACACCTAACACTAGTCCGAACAGCTGTTTTCAGGCACGTCTTCGACTGCGCCGGCGCGCTTCTTCCGTCAACAAAGAGTCCTGACTCATCAAAACGTGAGTCGCATTCTCGGAACTAGGATGGTGTCCCGTATGAAACGCCCCCAGCGAATACCACTGCTGAAGATAACGGAAGGGTTACGGTGCTGGAAGGAACGCGTCATACGAGAGCGAGGAGTCGAAGAGAGAGCCCACGGCAAGCCAAAGTATGCGATCGTTCGGCGCTCACAGTCAAAACGATGGCTGGATGCAGCTCAATATATAATCGGCGTACTTCCTGACGCATCTAAGAATAGCCCTAGTTGCCTGAAGGTTAAAAACTACCTCCTGCACAACTCTATAACAAGCGTCACGTATCCTGCGGACTGCAACGACTCGCCGCGGCCCTGCTGACACCGAGTTCAACTTCGCAACTCTCCGCGATTTCCGTCTTACTACCACCCGATCTGTGCATGTACAGTACCACCCAATTTACCACTTCACCGGCCCGCTGACGCGCCGACCAGCGCACGACCGCTACCCGAAATCGTCCGCGATCTCGCATCTGACAATCGCCCTTAAGGCATTTTCGCAATGTTTGACCAACTGCACATAATATTAAGGAAAAATCACCATCACCTCCGTCTGACCAGAATCACTGCCGGTCGATCTTCACTCAATTAGTGAATACACTGTGCGCTGTGTCATCGACTGAACAGCATACACGCAACCATAACATTCCACTACTGAATGTCCTTCACTTCTTCCTCTAGCTATGAGCTTTCTAAAACATGGTTTCTTCACAGCGGCCGTGTTTTGACAAATTCTACCGCTTGCACTCACAATTCAGTTAGATAGTACCGTTGACCTTGTTAAATTTCAAGGTCTTTTTTACGCTACCTTATCAAAGTCTTAATCTTAGTTTCCTTTTGAAATTCTCGCCTCCTTCTGCCACATCATTCATATCCTTCTCATCCACAGCGACTGACATTTCCACCCTTAAAGTATTGCATTTAAGGTTTCCACTACTTGACTACACTGAGAGAATAATCAAAGGGCAATTGACGTGATTACAACACAGCAGTAACCACAGCAACACCAGGTTTGAAGGACAACACGCGTACAGAATGTTTGTTGGCTTCACATATTTTCAAATCGCATTGCACCATGGGGCTTTGTTTTCTGTGTTTATTGTATTTTTTATCATTGTTTGTTCTCAGTAAAGCCTTCTCCTTGATAGTGTCTAGTTTTTTACGTGCTATTACAGTTAGGGGGCATTCTGTGCTATACATTTTTGAACAGAAATGTATGTAAGTGGGACTGCTGCCGCTACTATACTGTCACGAGAATCGGGGAATTCGTGAGCCAGGGGGAGTGTAGCCAATCTAGGGGGGGGTGAGGGCAGTCACTTGACATGCGTGAAAAGCTGGGCGTGCCCACCCCACTTGTATAGAGCCGGGCATCATAATACAGTTTCTCGCGAACTAGTGTGAACTCGAACATTCCAGCTTTTCACGCATGTCAAGTGACTGCCTCACCCCCCCCCACCCCCTAGACTGGCTACACTCCCCCTGGCTCGGAGTTACCGTAGCTTTCTGGAAAACTGCATCATGATGCCCCTGACTGGGATAGACCCGATTTTTTACACGGTTCAGGTAATTCCCTATCATGAAGTCGGGATGAAGGATAAAGCATTCGGCGGTGGTAAATATGGTTCTTTTGAAACGCGCCATGCACTTCACCTGCATTCAGAATGGTTCAGAATGGTGGCGGTATTTCGAAAACGATTTGGCTTGTGCAATGACATGCGGGTGACAGCCATTGTATAAACCGGTGTTTTTATCCTCATCGACAAGTCTGTTACTAATATCCGACTTCGAGGGGCTTAGTCTTGTGGTTGAGCCCGTTTTCCAGTAATAATACCTAAATGGATGGTCCAATAGCGATAATTTCTTGTGTTGTTGAAGTGCTGCTGTTATGAAAAGATCTTCTGGATGGATTTCTTATTCATGTTATGCTGTTTCAGGATGCTGCTGCCAATGATATCGCGTGCTGTGTTACGCTGTCTTACAAAACTTGATATTCTGCGTCCAATGAATATGCCATCCAAGCTTATTCATCCAAGGATGCTCTCCACCCAAGCAGCCCAAGACTCAGCGAGGTAGGATTTTGGTTCTCTGAGGGTTTTATTTGGCATAAAATTCGCTGAAAGTGCAGTACAGTGGTTATGTTTAGTACTTCCGAAATAGCAGAAGACGATGAGCAGGTCGATAATACAGATATTGATTATGAAGACCAGTTGAAGGCATTAATGCCATCCGAGAGTGTGTGGCATGCTGTACCATTTAAACAGCAAGCTTAAAGAAGTCATCAAAGAGTTGGAGGTTGGTTTTGTTGTTTCCAAAAACTATCATTGAATAAACTCTTCTGTAACAGTAGCGATCAACTTGGTTGTAATTGTGCACGCATGAGGATGGCTCTTCCTCATGGATAGGTGTACGTTAACAAGCAGAAAATAGAAAAATCCTGTCTTTCGATGCTTGGCCTTCACACTTGATGGCTGTCTGAGACAGTTTTATCAGACCTCAATACTTAGACGAGCTTGATAGGCATCCAGGAAAAGAGGCAGTATTTATCAAATGGACGTGGATTTGGGCCATATTGGGAGCTTAATTTCGAACTATCAACTGCTATAACCTTACAGAATTGACTAGAGAAAGACTTACCAACTGAATATCATCAAAGCTTCTCGTTTAGATCTTTGCATATATGGGAAATTTCGTTCCAAAACACTTAACGGACGACGACTGGTATCGGAGTATATATCTTTGACATATGCCCTGTTATAGTTGCGATTTTGAGATTTGCGCCTAGAGTTTTCGTTTGGTTTCAGACGATTGGTTCTGGCATTATACCCGCGAAGCTGTACTATAATAATATGTTTAGGTTTTGATCTACGGATTCAGGGTAGTGATCGGTGTTGTCTTCGTGGAGATATCTACTGCTCGTCACAGCAACGCGCGAGGAAAGAGATAAAATGAGGAAAGTGCCCAATAAAGACGCAGGATCTCTCGCCAAGCGAATAGAGAGAGGCTCGTGTTTATCGGGATATCAATAGATTTTAATATCATGAAATTAATTTCTAAGTTTTAATTATCCGTCCCCACTGTCGATATTGTAGAGGGCAAAGGTGACGAAAGCAGGGAATGGGTTATGGTCGCGAAGAACTAAATTACCAGACTGAAATTTATGCAATGCGTAATAGAAAGAGGTAGATAGTTTGCGAAATTAAGGGGCGTAGATAGGATTGGAGCCAACGATGTTATGCAATTCTTTTAGAGGATTGCATGTATTGACACACGAGAGGCGAGATGGTTTTCCGCTTTGCCGTGTGGTTGCGACGAGCTCAAATATGACTTTCATATCAAATATAGGCTTTCAGAGGAAACACGCTGGGTACAGTCGAAGTTGGAAATACGAGTTACGTGCACCATCATGTGGTAATTAGTTAGTCACCGGTGGGATTGACCGTATTATAGGGTTGGAAAGCGTCTGGCCAATGTGTTCAAGATTTTTTGATTTTAATTTTATCTTTTTTGGTTACAACTCCTGACCGGTCTTATATCTACCATGAGTGTCCACCACTTGTCTCCATCGCTCAGAAAATTTCTTGATGCTCCTTTGCCAAAACTCAGCGGAGTGCGAGTCGAGGAAGGAGGCGACCTCACTTTCGAGTTGGAGTTGATCGTCTGATTATTTCGTTATCAAGATGATGATTAAAGGTCAGGATAGGTAGCACTCATTTACAGCTCGACCAGGGGATTACGCTAAGAGAGGAAAGAAATCTTGCCGCAACTCCAGAATTTCTTACCGGGCTCATTTCGGATCATGGTGATTCGCAATGTCATGAAAGAAATGAATATTGTCGCGGTACGAGGGCTCTTGACGAGCTACCTCGGCCAGCTTCTGGTACTCCACAACCTAGGCCACTGCCTACACAATGGTGCCCATAACGAAGGGTATGTAGTGGAGCTTCTGTAAGAGCCCTACCTGTAATGGAGTGTGATGGATGCTGCGTGCTTCTTATAAAAATATCAAAAGATCGGAAGCGCTGGTAAAGGTGAAACACGCTGTATCGGTGAACGGCATGCCATTAGAAGCTATTGCAGATAGTGTCAGTCGTTGACACGAATCCATGGTTTTGTAGACATTTGTACTAGACAGTGACTCGGAGTACGGATTTGCTAGTGGTCGAGATTTTTTGAATTTCTTGGATAACTACTGACTGCAGAACTTATATCCACCTCGTGGATTGAAGCCTTGAGAATGCTCTATCATTTGGTAGTCATAAATGTTACCTATGAATTTTTCAGAAAAAAAGAAAATTTTGGAAAGAGTGTTGCAGAACTTTCTTTCCAACCTAATAGATTTCCATTTATATCGCGGAGCTATAAACGAAAAATTGCTCAACTTTCGATCTGTACTGGCGTTTCAGATAGTTTGGTGAATGTTGTCCGTTGATGCTGCTATCGAAACATTAGAGTTCGGTATGGTTTTTTCTGAATCAACGCATGGGATTGTTGTAGAGAATCTGGATTCGCGCAGAATCTACACTTCACCTTCGTAAACTTTCCAGAGACTGATGAGGCTCAAGCTTGGTTGAATAGGTATGACTTTTAATCAATTGCAGACCGCTGTTATGTGAGCACCTCCGTAGGTTTTTGCTCTCTGTCTCACCAGAAAGCAATCATCAATAGTTTAACAGCGTGTAAGGATATGACATTTTTTTGCTTGCTAAAAGTGACTGATGACTTTGCCACGTATAAAAAGGGTTAAGAAATCGAAATATTTTTTGCCGCGTGGCGTGGTGCACATGGTGCAGCACGGCCGGAATAGGTAAATCTGACCAGTTTTCACTTCTCAGGCGTCTATCGGGAAAGTGCTGTGGTCATATCATTAACGAAGTGTCATTCATCTAGATGTGTGGGTTTCTATGGTGGACAGTACACTCATCAGACCGTGCTACCGGACTTCACTAGCAAGGGTGTGAAAGAGGTGTATCCTGACGAAAACGTTGTCTACATATCCAGGTTAGCTATTTGGATCAATTAGAACTTTGATTCAGGGTAAAGTTTTTGAAAAGAACCTAATCCGGAGTCTCCTTCTAGGCACGCAAGAGACATGATCGATGGACCATTAGACGTTGGAGCGATCGCATTGTGTGTGTCCAAGGATACGGCTAGAGAAGCGCTCGGAGCAGCTCGTCGTGGGCGGATGAGAGCTGTGCGCCTTCCCATAAAGAAATACGTGAAGTCAGTTGAGAAGAATTCCTTTCTGAGCCAGACATCTTTACTGAGAGCTTGTTAGCAGAGAGGAAAGCATTCGAGCATCTATGCATTCTTTTGAATAAAGAATTGACCCCTGTCACATCTTTCTCGTTGGAGGGTCATATGTTTAAGAACGAAGCTTTTTTCCAGGTGGCAGAAAGGACCGATGTATTTGCCGTTCCCTAATATAGTGCGAATTTTCCGTGAAGTTCATTTGAGTGGTGGCGATTGGGAGAGCGCATTGCTCAACAACATCAGCAAGTGAGCTCCTTTCCGCATTTCTTTTCAAACATGCCATGCAGGGTTGGAGGATGAAATGATGTCATCAGCCCTGCTTGCCTCTCAAGAAAATAGACTATCAAACGGATTGAGAATGCCATGAGGATGTACAGAATCTGGGTGGACTCTTTGGAGCTATATTAAAGGATAAAAGGATAAAGCATTTGCCGTTGATCAATCCCTTTTTGGGATGCGGCACGCATTCTACTTCCATTTGTACATTCGTAGTGGCGTTTGAATGCGATGTGGCCTATACAATGACTTGCGGGGGCCAGCCGATGTACAAGTCAGTGTTTTTATCCTCCCAGACAAGTCTGGTACCAATTAACCGACCCCGGAGGGATGGAAGGCTTGGTTGGCCCGGGCGACTCACGACCCAGGATTTGATCCCCCGCTCGCGTGGTAAGCGTGCCACTTGCCACTACACCACTTCCGCCCAGAGCTATATGATCGCAATTATTCATTACAAAGTTTGCTCAAAGTTTTTTTTCCTCAATGTTGTATTGAAGGCATTGAATAGCCACATATACTTGTGCAAACTGAGCGCTATCTATCAATAGTTTTGAGTGTTGTGGGGTGGTGGGTGGGGTGGTTGGGGTGTGGCGGATAAAGGGAAATTACGCGAATTAGAGTGAAGCTCTCTCTGAGGAGTTAGGTTATTGATCTGGATTCTGGTGTGTTTTTGAGAGACGGCGGTCCTGGAATGGTGGTGGCTATGGGGTCTGTGTGGGTTATCTTGCTTGGCTAATTGGACATGCCGGTTGATAGGATACTTGTGTGCCTTGAGGGGGCGGCCTAGTAATGCTCAATCTTGGCGCGGTTGGCCGGTGTACGCACACCGATCATCTGATCACTCGCCGTAGGTCTACAGGGTGGCTACTAAATATTGGCGCATGGTTTATTGATCATATTTCCAAAAAGAGAAGCTATCATATCTTCAGAAGTTTATTTTCATATACAATAAAACATGAAAATTCATTACCAAAGAAAGTGCTCGAGATGGCCTCCTTTGGTAGCGATACAGGCTTGAAGTCTCTTTTCAACTGACATCACCGTGGGCCGCAAGTAGCTGACGTCGGCGTGACGTGAGTAGATCTTTCAGACCAGAAGTGGCGCACGATTTGCAAAACGACAGGCAGTTGTTGGATCTGGCTAGCAGACATTCTGCTCGACCTTGTGTACACAAGGAACCGTTTTTCAAATTTGTCATGGTTTGGGCAGGAATTACTTCTGAAACCATGACACCGCTTGTCTTTGTGGATGAATACATCAAAGCCAGCCCAGATCTACCCGGAAACAATTTTCACGTAATGCCCTTCTTCCAAGGACTCTTTTGACCTTCAGCGAACGTCATTGCATTCTTCAGCAAGACAGGGCGCCTCCACATGCCGCAAAATCAATGTTGGAGAACTGTGACCGTCATTTTCCAAGTTACCGGGCACAAAATGTTTGGCCATCTAAGTCGCCCGATTTGAACCAATTGATTTGGCGGTGTGGGGCTTCTTGAAGCAGAAGATGCCTTCTGAGCAACGTCGAAGTTTGGACTCCCTGAAGGCTTCCTTGGAGGAGGCGTGGAAGGAGCTTGACGTCAGCTACTTGCGGCCCACAGTGATGTCAGTTGAGAAGAGACTTGAAGCCTGTATCGCTGCCGAAGGAGGCCATTTCGAGCACTTTCTTTAGCAATGTACTGCCATGTTATACTGTATATAAAGATAAACCTCTGAAGATGTAAAAGCTTCTCTTTTTAAAAATATGGTCAACAATCCATGCGCCAATATTTAGTAGCCACCCTGTATACGTGGCGAGTGATTAGATAGCAGAGAGAGCGTAGTGTTGAAGAGGGCACAGCGATGAGAGTCGCATCAATGCACGAATCAACGGGCGAGGAAGAGGTTCCTATAGGCAAACCTTCACAAGTTATGTTTCTCTTCTATGATCTAATTCGCAGATGCAGTGCGTGGCGCTTTTTCATCTAGAGACCGGTTCATGGAGTGCTCTATTCGTTACTTCGATGTGACGATGTGGTAGTGGGTCTTTCTGTTTAGGCGTCACCTTATGACTCCAGAGGAACAGGAAGCGCAAGCACAAATCGAAAGGACAAACCGGCGAAAGATTAGACAACGCGAGAAGGACGAACTAATCCAGACGATTCGGGAAGCCACAGGCCATACATAATTTGCTCAGGTGGTTCAGAGGTAGTATCTGTTAGGTTTTTAGCGATGTTGTGATAATTACTATATGTTGCGTTGTATAGCTCGGGTTTTGATCGTTTGGTTACGGTATACGTCAACCTATTTTTCATCTGTACTAATTTACTGGTTAGCTTCCCGTGGTATACTCAATGCTGTTACATTGTATTTAAATGATCTGACCGCCTCAGGATAACCGGAACTTGCTCCTCTGTAATTGGTTGACCTAAGTTAAGATTGGCTAGGCTCATTTGAGTTCTGTGAAGTGGTCAGTCTTTTTTGTACATATATGACGTATTATTGTAATTATTGTTATTTCTCGTATGCGCCTGTGCGCTGTGTGTAGGCTTGTTGATAAATATCGTTACTCGCTTTCCACCTCACAAGTTTCGAAAGTACATGCTCTTCGTATCGGACTTTGAACTGGTATGCTTCTCTTTCACTGTCGTCGTAGCCGATGACGGCAGTATGCTTTGGTGTAGAGAGGTAAATAAAAGCATGTGGAATAAAAGATAGGGTTCTCTTGCTAAAGACGTCTTCAAGTCCCAACACTTGCGCCTTTATTGCTCATCGAGTGCAATCTGCTGGATTAGTTACTTGTAGGACTTACTTGCTAGTGCTACTTACACTCAATATCGTAAGAGTTGGGAAATTTTTCTGCTTCAAGATTGTGATGAAATTCAGAATACCATTTCAGTCAATGATTAAGGGCAGAACATGAATGGTCCCATGATACTAGGGGTCGAGAATTTTTATTAGCTTCAGCTTTCTGCCGTTCCAAATAATTCTATATTCCTTCCCGTACCTCGTTCGATACATCTTCTTGAGGTGAAGGATTAACAAACTATGACTGAGACAAACTGTCCTCGAATCGAAAAATCGGATAAGATCATTTGGGAATTTCTTTTCAGGAGGGGGGGGGGGCATGCACCACATTCATGCAGCATGATGAGGACCACTTCTGCGTTTGCGAAGCGGTCTGTCTCACTCACGCAGTTGTCTAGTGCTCATCATCGGCTAGTCGTAGGATGTGAATTCAAGAACGTGGTCCGCGTGTGATGCCAAATTGCATTCCACAGCAAAACAGTGACGAAGTGCATACTCCCTCCAACACTTCCTCAGCTCCTCCCAGCATTTTCTTAATTTCGATGGCTTCTAAAAAATGCGTCACAACACGCCTTTTTTACTGAAGTGTTTTTCAGGAAATGTTGACGGAATCCGTAAAATTTACCGACCTGTGCGTGCTACTGTCAAAACTTCGCGATGCTAAAGGCGCTAATGCTTCAGCTATTCGAAAAAAGACGTTTGAGAAGTTTCTAGAGAACTGCCGTACTAAATGTGAAGATGACGAAGATGTCGAAACGGCTATCCATCCGGTGAGATTTTGAGCCGATAGCATGTGACTGTCGGTCCTATCCGCGAACGCATAATTGGTTGAAATGGACAATAGGTGGAGATTTCAACGACTTAACTATCTGATTATCTAGCTGCGACCACAATACGAGACATATGAGCGTGGCGTTTCAGAGCGGTTCTTAACCTAACATTAGGTGTACAAGATTTTGACTGTGGTACCAGTACCTTCACCGTTTGTCCCAATTTTAAGTGTCGCATGCCAGGTTTCCCTCTCGATTCCGAGTGATTCTGAATTTTATTTTCAATTTTTTACAGATACTTCGACTCATACTGAGTACAAAAGACGAGAGAAGCTTGAATATCAAACGGGTATATCCTTTTTTGCTTGTTCCGTAAGGAGGCACATATTGTCTTCATATTTCCAGAAGAAACTAGTTGATCGAGTCTGTAAAGCACTCGCCTTATCATCTTCTGATGTACCAAGGGCTAGCGTCTCGGTTAGTTGAACGCAGAGAATCTTTTGTCAGGAATCCTCTATCATTGATTTATACAGAATGCCACGAGAGTATGCGAAGTGCTGGCGTCAGAAGTATCTTCACGAATTGCTCCCGATGATTTCGAACATTTGTCGATTTCTGAGATCAACGAAAGGCTGGATCGTATGAGTGACATCTCAGGTGGGGATATTAGACTATGAACATTAACGCATGCACTCATCGTGCTGGATTGGTTCGGAGAAGTTTATTGCTTTGCAAATGCTGGTGGGTCAATACAGTTGCAGCATGTGCACTACGCACGCAACGCAATGACTGCAGTCTTTGCAATTGCAAAACCTTGTCCGAGTCACGCCCCTTTTGAGGGAGAAGACTCGCACTTGTCCGTGTCTGAAACCAAAATGCGAAGAAGGCATCATGTGACAGAAAGCTCCCCGATGACTTAAAGGCAAAAGTCGGGCTCAATAAGGGGTATTATGGCGATTGAAACTGAGTATAGAGATGCGAAGTGGAACGACAGTGGAGAAAAAACTGAGAAAAACCGTCGACAAGGCCGTTAACAAAACCCTCTTTCCCACTAGCAGTGAAGGAGGCTGGCTTGGGGAAGAGGCACGTACAAACAAGTTTTCTGGAGATGTCAGTCGTTCTATCGGTTGATACGGCAATCAACCTAGCTGATTTCACACGTTATGCCAGCCACGCACCACTTCCGGAGGTGGGCGGTCCTGGATTGAAACCGAACCCCCGGGGCCTTAACGGGGTTTTTCAAGGTGGAAAGTTGCTGCAATGTGTGCAGCTACCCACATAAAAACCTCCAGGCACGGGAATTACTTTCTAGCATGCTGGACCATTGCCTTTAAGAATGGCAATGGATCAGCTCGCTGAGCGCTGTAGATCGATTCTAACGACTCGGTAAGGTTGTCGGAGATCACAAGAAGAATCGCTTGCGACAAAAACGGTTTCTGCATGAGGAGTTTCGCATACAACCCGGGTCGGACGCGGAATCGAGATTCTAGGCTTTCGAAAAGCCCCAATGGCTCGCTGCATTGCAAAAGCCTCCCTCAAGGAGTAGAACCTTTGTAGCTCCATCATAGTCAGAGAATTCGCAACGCTGTTGTGACCTCTCGCTCAAGTGATCCATGGTCCCCACCTGACACAACCAATGCGCTCAGAATTCTCTGTAATTCTTTGGTTGTTGTCGAGGGTACCAGGTGACGTCTTACACGTCGCAGCATCACGCCCTCCAAACTTGTCCAACCTTACAGCATGCTACTCAAATCCTTGGTAAATTTCCGAACTGTTGAGAGGATGACAAAGAAAAGAACGTCGGAAGAGAATAGGAAGATGGATAACAAGTAGAAAAAATATTTCTGAACCACAAGTATTGAGTGGCCAGGCGACTGCTGTTATATGCGAACTCCTTGATGCTGAGTTATTGCTGTCTACAGGTAATTTTTGGGCACGAATGATTCAGACTGTTTCGACTGGCAACCCTAATCTCAAAACGCTGTCAGGGTAGTTGTGGGGGGGAGGGAGGGGGAGGGGGGGGGGGGGGGGGGGGGGGGGGGGGGGGGGGGGGGGGGAGGGTGCGTGGCTAACATTTCCACTTTATCAGCGTGTGACTCATCAACGTGTTCCCGAAAGTGACAAGTGGGCGACATCAGACAAAGAAATTCCAAAAGCAGTGATTACACAGATTTCACGAAGGGTTATAGGAGACTGTGGTGCTCATGGTACGCCAATGGGCCGAAAAAACGGAGATCTGTCGAACAACGCCAAAAAACGGACTCCTTTTTTGGTCGTTGGTATCCGTTAGTAAACAGGTAACAGCTCAGAAGCGGACATATGAACGAGTTCATCGCAACGCGTTTGGTGACAGCATGGCAATCCATGCTCCAGTCGAGTTGCTTCAGTTGTGCCGCTGCTGGCAACGCAGCTCGTCCAAATCACCAGTAAACTAGTGGGCGGATCGCTTTCGGGCGGAGTTTCCCGAAGTCCTGCTCGGCAACCAGCGCACCGTTCGTCGTGGAGCGCCACACCTCGCTTCTCTAGGCAGCCAAGTAACTGCTTCGTGTGGTGCATATGCTTCCCCGATGCGTTCCCTCCTTATCGTAATCGCTGCCTTTAAACTCGCACTGCCGTACCCATCCGAATTAAGAGCAAGAGAGGAGCAAGAGCGAGGAGCAAACTTCTGCAGTTCCAGCCAGCGCCAATAGAGCAAAAAATTGCCGTGATCAACGATGTGGCACTGTGAACTGCAGAAGTCACTGAAAGACGAACAATTGTTCGAAAGATCGACGAATATAAGAATTTACATCGTAAAAATCTGTACGGCGAAATAACACAAGCAATATTTCCAGAACAAAGCATTCACTTTGATGACACTAGCTATCATAGACTCGCACAGCACGAAAAAAGCAATGTAACAAGAACCATAATTTCGTGCTGATTAGCCGTATCCTCCTTAATTTTTGCCTATCTTACCTAGCTCTACTTCTTATTAATCCAAAAACGGGATTGATTTATTGTTTCGCCATCGGTTAGGAAAATTCATCGAGAGCTTCCATGTCTGCTCGTAGCCGATATAGGCGTGGTTCAAAGGTCACAGAGTCAATTTGGATAGATTGATCTATTAAAGCACTGATATACTGATTCGGGTCGTTCTTTACTATCGTTTTGGGACCGAATTAAGAAATTAGGGAATAGTTCTGGGAATTACTGATTATCCGGCGAACCCATTGCTTACTGACCAATGCAGCCGTCCCCTTATTTTCCGCCTACCTAACGGAGCTATGGGAGGACATGTAGGTAGATGTGATAGAAAAACACATTTTTGCGAGCTCAGGCGATGAGGATATATTACAGCATTTCAGGTTCGGATGATCTCCAATATCTTTTCAAAAATTGCTCTCGAGAAGAATTGTTCTGGTTATTCAACGTGATGATAAAGAATGTTCGAGGTTGGCACCTTATTCTGCCTTGGAACCATTTCAAACTTCGAGTTATTCGATTTCGACACCAATCAATTTGAAATGTTTCAACCACTTATAATCTATAGGTATGGTTTTAGTCAACGATCGGTGTGGCAACGAACATAATCCTGTCGTGGTTGGGCCCCGAAGCCGTCAATCGATGGAATGCTGCAAGGGATCTTAGCGAAGTTGCAGCTCCTTCCGCTAGTGCGGAGTCTCCGTTAGGCGCCAATTTTCGTCCAATGCTGCTGGCTCGGCTGCCCAAAGATGGCTGGTGGGAGGTGGTGAGTTGTTTTGTCACCTACATGATTTTTGAATATCATGCAGGCATAGGAGAGATCGCAAATCATGAGGGGCGGGGGTGGAGGCCAAATATGAGGACCGTTTTGGATGGGAGAAGAGTCGAGCTTTGCGTAGGCGTTGAATTGCTTCTTTGCTGAGCAAATCATGAGTTTTCATATTGCGAGACGAGGCGGAGGTGATATGTATGTGGTAGGTGACACCACTTATCACGTACGCGGTCCGAAGATCAAATCTTGACTCGTACGCCGTCCAGGCCTACTTGGAATTCTATTC